TCAATTTCTTAAATGTATAACAAAATTCGGAATTTTCAAAATGCTAAGGCTCTGCCAATTTTCAGTTTAAGAAAAAGCCAGCCGATAAGTTTTGAAGCTTGAGTCATGAACAATAAAACTTATTGGTTAAATTTTTTAAAATGATATATATAATTTTTTTTTGTTTTAGTATTTTGAAGTTGACCAATTGTTACTATAAGCAATTAATGATTATAGATGATCTGCACCGTACTATTTGTAAACATTTTTTAAATAGTACATGCCACACTCAGAGTTGTACAGAAAAAATTTTATTTATGGTAAAAAATTGTAATTGTAAATCTACGCCAAATTTGGCATAAATTTCCTTTAAGGGATAATAAATTAAAAATTAAAATCAATATTAATTAATTGTTTTTAGGCATCTAATCCAACAAGTAAACTCGATTTTCAGGTCTGCTTTTGTTTGGGCACCAACTCAAATGTGTTTCTAATGAACATGAAAAAAAAACAAAAACTTCTACTTTAAAATTAGTCAAAGATGTAAGTGCCATAACATTAACTAAATGTGCTAATCATCTTGCAACAAATTTGATGGTTAATTTTCAAGAACAAGTAGACAAATTTATAATAAAAATGATAGAAATTAATTTTTTTTTTACAAGTGTTTGTTCAGAAAATCACATTACCTATAAAGAGCATTTTTTAATGCCCTTTAGTATTTTAAAACATTTGAATTAAATGTAGCACAATATAAATTTATAGATATCACAAATTAATGTGACATAATAGAATTTCCATTATGCTATAAATTGCAGATAAGTGTTTAATATATATAATGCATATATTTTTTTTGTTACCTTATCTACTATGATATAAAATAAAAGATAAACCAAAATTTGGGAAAGTTGGCTGGTTAAGATGAAAGTGGATTTAGTTTTTCTCATAAATCACATTAAAATCTTCTAATCCAAATATATTAAGAAAAAGACCAAGTTTGTATTGCAAATTCTTTACTAATTCAACAACTTTGAATGATTTAGGTTCAAGAGCTCATTCAGTGGACATTACTTTGGGAAGATTTTTATCTCTCAAGATCCTTAATGTTTAGATCCATGTTTTGTGTTACCTCTTACATATTCAATAATGTATAGCTGACATACATTAGGATATTCAAATAAAAACATGCTTAGTTGTGGCACTTGAATTTGTACATATCAATTATTCCATGATCATGACACATTTTTATTTCATTATATCTTAAGTATGACATGCAGAGTAATATTTACAATTCACTTGCTCTGTAAAATTACTGTTTAAAAAAACCAATCTATTTATTATTGGAATAAAACAAATTGTAAAGCAAAGGACAAACCCAATACAAGTAATAATTTTTTTCTATTCCAAATGTTCTTTGTAATCTTCTTTATGCCTTGGTATCTTCTTGCTTAACATTTATTGTTATCTCGACATAAAAAAAGTTGGTATCAGTGAAATTGTACATACAATAATAAGCTCTGACTATTGGCAGGCAATTAATGTGGATAAGGAGCTTGTTTTACCCTTGTTAAGCCATCGAGTCCAGCAAAGATCAAGAAACTTGATAACCCTTATGAACTTAGCTTAAAAAGTTATGCCTTAAGAGTATATATGTATTCTATAGCAACACCAGTGAAACTTATAACAAACTGTATAGTTGCTCTAAGCCTTAAGTTGTGTAATCTAAGGTTGCGGGAGAAACTCCTCCAGAAATCAATCGACAGAGTTTCAACAGGTTACACATTAATTGTTTATTAGAGTTTTGGCAGAGTTTCGCATTTGGGGTTTTCGCCAATCATCAGAGTTTCGACAGGTTACACATTAATTGTTCATTAGAGTTTTGACAGAGTTTCGACAGTCATTAAGAGGTTTCGCCCACAACCTTAGTGTAATCACAACCTATTTGGAAGCGAAAATTGCACAAGAACCTATTCCACACACATAGCACTACCAACTATAGTTGTCATAAATATGTACCTGTTTTGCTTCAGGAGAATCGGAGTCCAATTTCAATTTTTCCACTTCAGTGTTGTTACATTTTAAGTTCTGTAAATAAAATATGGTGAGCACTGATTTCCACAAGGATTTATTGTACAGGAAAAATTAAAATTTGATATTCACTACATTAAATACAAGGTTTACAAATTCAATAAATTCATGGGATTGTTTACTTTTAAACTCTTTCATTTTAACAGCCCAGCATATCTGTATTATATCTTCATCTTCCCTTAACATCAACTTCATTATCTTTTGCTTGGATCCCTCTTCATTTCATTTGCCTCATTTAGAGTATCACAAATGAATGTTATCATTTCATAAAAATTTGAGTCATTGTGTTTTCTTTTTGGTTGTTGAAACTGGTTCTCACTATTATTGCTCTCAACCTCTGGAGTATACATGCAGCCCAAAGTATTTTGACAATGTCATAAAGGGGGTTACACATGTAGTAAAGGGGTATTACACTTATGTTTTTAATAGTGAGTGCCATAATTAATTTCTACTTTCTACCATCAAAATTGGAATAATTTTGACCATTGAAATCACCAAACCAATTTGGGCTGCATGTATACTCTGGAGTTGTTTTTCCCATCCATTTTTGAATAATCTTATTATCAAGTTTTTCTTTTATAGCATGTGATTCTTTATAGTTGCCACCTAGTATTAAAAGAAATGATGAGTCAGTTCAAACTCTTATACAAAATTATTTATAAATTATTTACCTAAACAGGTGACAACATTGCATGCAAGTATCATCAGGAAAATAAATCTCACGTAAACCTACGTAGGGTTTAAAACTGACCAGCATTATGCAGAAATGTTAACAGAATTACCAAAATATCAACATAATGCTGGCCAATTCTGAACCCTATGTAGGTTTACGTAAGATTTATTTTCCTGATGATAGCATTATGTTGGAGTTTGTGGTCATTTCATCAACCTTTTTGATCTATTAAAGTTCCATGAGCTACCCTATTGCTAACATTGTTCTTATAATTTTTAAAAGCCGAGTCGGATTTGATTTATGTTGACTGTGGAATACTGATTTGTCAAAAATTTTTATATTCTCAATTATGAAATTAAGCATACATTGAGTATCTGCATTATCAAAATCTGGATTTATGTGATGTTTGGAGGCAAAGGTCTTGGTGACAGTGGAAGGAATTATATGTTCATTCTCAATAAGGAATTTGTTAAGTGCTTTTTCAACCAAATTAAAAATAGGTTCAATAAAGGCCCCTTGAAAGAAAAAGTATCCTTTACTGGTGGGGAGATGATTCTTGGTTGTTGTAATTATACATGAAGTTGAAACTATTTCGACCATTTGCAGATCTGGTCAAAATAGGGTCAAAATAAGGTCAAAACTGATTTTTACTATGTAGTTTCCTCAAGTCAAAACATTTTGACTTGGGGTTTTAATTTCGACTTCATGTATAGTTTTGTAATGATTGAACACTTTTTATCCAAAAAAAGTGGAAGAATAAACCCGTTTTTTGAATACTGCATATGGCCTTGGGATTTTTTTCCTCAAGCCAATCAAATATTTTAGTGTGTATTTCAGACTGTTCACAAAAGACTTTGTCGTTATGTAAAATATTGCAAAGTGCTTTGGATATAACCTCACAAGAGACCTTTAATGGACATGCGTTATGTAATACATCAATAGTAGCTTTGAGTGTATTAATATATTTCTTTTTGTGAAATGCCATGTGGCTTTTGGCATAATCAATTGATCAATATTAATATTAATATTAATATATGTCATATGACTGCTAATACTAAGCTTGCTTGTTATTATTATAATTAGTATCAATATTAGTGTTATTATCATCATCACCGATTTCTGCATCAGAGGGGTTTTTTTTAAATCTAAAAATCCAAAATAGTTTCGGATTCGATTAACAGCTATATATAGCCTACTAATATAAGAGCATCAGATAACTGCAATTGTTGTCATTCTTTTCCACCTTTAATGAAGATGGATTCGAATTACACATTCATTTTTCAACAGGTTGTTTAGCAATCTAGGTTGATCAACAACATCCAATGTAGCAAGCAAACATTTATACCCATACAGATCAATTAAACCTATTCACGCAGAAAATACAAAGTCGTGACCATTTCTCCTTAAGATTAAGCCAAAAATTGTTAAACAAGGTCTCTTATCCACCGGGAGAACTGAGCTGGTAATTAAAACTTAAAGTAAATATATTTATTTGAAGCAAAATGACCTCTCTTTGATAATTTGCAATTGTATACAAATTCATTCTCTCTATAATATACATGTCCGTTATAGAGAGAGTCAACGGTAATAATATGAGACATATAATTGGGCTTAAATTCTCAGTCCGAGATCCATTATTGAGGAGAAAGAAAAGAAATTGACAAGCACTAAAAAACAAAATTGTAAAGTAAATTCAACTGTTAAAAGAACTTTGCAAAACATGTTTGAATTCATATTCATTATTCATAACGTTAAACTATTATTTTGATTTTTTTTTACAAAGTCACATTTAATTTATTTTTAAAAATAATAACAATAAAAATATAAAACATAAAATCAAAAGCAAAGGTAATAATAATGATAAAATTAATATCCTAGTTCTTCTTAACTGTCAGCTTGTAATTCATTATTTTCAGCAATCGCCCAACTAATTACAGGTGAAACAATAATTTCTACATCACCATCATTATTGTTAACACTTTCTTGTTTGTGGCCTATAAAACCCGTAACAAGTTGCAGCTTTAAATCCATGCTGACTTCATCAAAACTACCGATAAAGGGTACACTAACTCGACCATAAGGTAAATCACCTAATTCCGCAATTCCTCCTAAAGGATGACCATCACAAGTATAAGGAAAGAACATGGTAATCCAACCACTTAAAGTAGGCTCATCAGAGCCATAAGATTGGTAAGACAAAACTCTACTCCAAAAATCTTCATGTATTTCACCTTTATAAGTCGAAACAAATTCCCCAACAATTGGATCTAATTTATTTAACCAAAAATCTAAATCCAAATTTAATTTACTTAATTGAACTAATTTTTCTTGAATTTTCATCCAATCTTCTAAAGTACCAGTCAAAGTGATCTTTGGAATGCCACAACAAGTTGACATTCTATAATCAAAATAGGACTTGACAGTATCTAATAATATGATATTACTAGCAGTTTTTGTAGTAGGAGTTGTAGTTGTAAAATTACATTCTAATAATCTTTTTATTCCAACTTCATCTTTAACTTGACTATCAGTTGCATCAGTTAACCGTTGAACCGCTTGGTCCCAATTTCCTCCAATATATTCACCACTAAAATCCAAAAGGCCATCAACATAAACATTAATTTCTTTTTTGCCTTCATGCTCAACAACACATAACGATATTTTTCTGAATTAAAATTAATATGCTGACTGACTCCCAAGGCAATAGCTAGCCAAATATCATCAGGTGAAAGTTTTAAATGTTGATGATAACTATAAGCTTGAAAAAAAAGCAGAAATAAATCCATTTGTAGTTGGGGCTCTTTCAATAACTCGAGAGTTGATAGAGTTTGGTTCTGAAATTGCATGAATCTTATTTGATCTTAAAATTCTTTTGTATGCACTGTCAATATTAACATGACCTTTGATTTTGGTTCCGAATTGAAGTTTTTCAGAAAGAATTTGAGTTGACATGTTTTTTTTTTGCTAGTTTTTCTATTTTGAAAAAATAACTTTAACATGAGAAACTATTGGTATTTTTTGGTGAAAAAAGAAAACCATGTCACTAATAATCTGAAATGAGATCGATAAAAATAGTATGCAACACAAAATCATTGAACTTCCCAACAAAGAAACAATTAAACTCAATTAGTTTTAGTTTGGTGCAATGTTAAAAATGAATTTTTGAAAATGTTTGTGGTTTTATTTAACATTAACATTAAGTTAAGTGCTGCCAAATTTTTTTTAAATGGATAGAGGTTCTTATATAAATACTGAAAAGATGTCAGATCAGTAAAAAAACAAGTATGAATTGATTGGTTTTGGTATTTATTATACATACATTCCATTGCATCAGGAAAATGTGTTTTTTTTTTATACATGTATTATATGTATATTATACGCATATTATTTTACATTACAGGTGATCCACATATAATATACATATAATACACATGTCCATAAATTACACACGAATTATACATATATTATATGCAGATCACCTGTAATGTAAAATAATACACGTATAATATACATATAATATGTGTATCAAAAAACAATTACATATTAAATTATTTATTTTTATTTATCTGGCTACTATAGTTGTGATATTAAATATTTTGAGAAATAAAATTATTTAATAATGATATTGTATAAAGAAAGGTAATGATATTTGAAATTTGGATATTGAATATGCACACTAAAATAATGTTTCAAACCTAAATGGTTCAACAGCATATGATATACTGTTAAGACATTGCATTGGCAAAGCTAGTATGGCTAAAGTAACTGTAAACCAGTGTTAACTATCAAAAAATCACGGCCCATTGAACCTCACTTTATTGATATAAAAACATTGCTGAAGTAGTAGCATACAAATAAAAAATCATATTACAATTACATGATGCAAATACAAAAATAATATTACATCTCATATTAAACGATGGTTCCAAACAATTTTCCTGCAATAAACTCTCAAGAAGGCGTTTTTTGCATTTTATCTGTACATCAGCAAAAACTTCAATGGTGACAAAAGCAGTTTGTAAATGAGAAAATTCATATCAGTACACGGAAATTCGCAATTTTCCATATTAATAGTCGTGTGACATGTCCTAAAAATCAAGGGGCAAGTTTATTTTCCAAAAAATTTCTGGTGATATACACAATTTTTTATTATTAAAATTTCGAATTGAATGTCTTCATACCCTCGTTTGATACCCTTGCTGTGTAGCAATTACCACACAAATTTGATATATAATTTCTTTGTCATATGTATCTGCTTTAAAATTTTTTTGAAGTTGTTAATAAGACCAAAAATAATCTCAGCCTTAAAGTCAAATACTAATGCCCTTGTTGTGTAATTAATCAAATAAATCATTAGTTATTTAGTCATACACATTCATTTATCAGTCAGAAGTGAAATTGGATTGGTCAATTCTTTAGATGCAAAAAGAATAATTTTATTATTTGTATTTCAAATTAAGTATGTTTTAAGGATATATAAAGTAAGTTACAAAATAGGTATGTTTTAAGAATTATTAAATTCAGAGGTATATTTTAAGTGTATAATTAGGATATACATTCCTATTACTGTTGCAAGCGTGCAATCCGAGTTTCCTATTTAATAGGTATTTATGGTTCAACACACAGCCTCCTCGCTGACTCATGGTTGATTCTAGTGATTGACACACAGCCTACTCGCTGACTTACAGTCAAAAATTAATAAAATATAACTTTTATCTTTTTAGATAAAAGGGTCCCTAGGTTCTATATATGTAATTATATCCCAAAGGCATCCCCTTGAGATGTCTCTTTCTTGATAGTTAAGATACTGGTTAACTGCTATGGGCAGCAAAGGTTTTTTAATTAATTAGAGATTATTATTTAGGGTAAAATATGTTATGTGTTTTATTAGTGATAATAATCTTATTATTACAATGTGTTGGAAAAATATTAATTATTAGATCAATAATTAAGAGATTGTTATGAACATTATGATTCTGACTTGGTCTAAAACCAAGTCCTTTTATACCTCTTGGGGTATTACAAATAACATGACTTTTACTCTAGTTTGTCCAATAAACTATGCTTATTAATATAAAATAAATATTTGGGTCAACTGATCATTACAAATAATAATTAATAATTTAAAGTAAATATTTACATCAGCTGAACAAGTTCTTGAAATATAAATATAGAAATATGAATATGAGTAATTGTGCGTGTGATACTGCGCAATGTGTGGCACAGTATTTCACAAAATATAACGTTAAAAATAAAAATAAAATGATTTGATTTTCACGTGACTTCCGCAGTAATTTGGTTTGGTTGGATCGGCAACGTGGGACCTCTCTATCGGTCCTCATTTTATTATCTCACAGTATAGTTTAGTTGATAATTTTCACCCTCATCATTTTTAGTACATATACCAAAAATATTTATTTTAAAAGAAGTTTTAAAATAAATTGAACCAACTTGTTGAGGTGAATATGGTGCAGAAACACTTTGAGCATAATCATAACAAATGTGAGTTGATGTTGAATCATTTTTGCATTTTCCAATAGTTTTATTATAATGTTGTCTTTCATGATCTGCTGCTGTAAGATGTTCTTCATAATCAAATTTTATTTCAACATTTGCATCATTACTTGATGTTACCAATTTTAATCTAAAAATTTCACAAGCCTCACACAGATCATTTGAAGCATTTAAAAATTTAATATTTGGTGTTAATTGATTCCAAAGTCTCCAAAAAGTTATATACTGTATATCTTGCATAGATGTACCAGCAAAATTATCCTCAAAACATTTTTTGTACTCATTAAAAACTGATCTATAATTATGCTGAGTTTCTAGATAAATAATTGGGTCTGAATTATCATGAAGTCTCATTGGAGATGGCAATCCATGTAATTCAGCATAATTTAATATATAATTTTTCACCCTTTCCACTACTTCTAAATCAACAAATGCTTGTGATTTAAGTTTAGGAATATTTTTCATATTACCATGTTGACGATCTTCTAAACCATTTGTTAAATGTTTTTGCAAATCAGTTAACACACCTTTTTTAATATCACACAGTTTTAAAAACACAGGTTTACAAATTTGTATTTTTTCATTATATTTATATCTATAGTTATGTCTAATATTTTCATTGTCAAATTGAAAAACCATCAATTGTGTTTTAATAGGAAGTTCTTTTTCTTTTTTATCTAAGCTTTTAAATTCAAAATGTCTCTCAAAAAAGTTTTTAAAGCCTATTTTTTCAAAGCAACTATGTGGATCATTTGTTGTTTTCACACATTTGCAAGAACTTTGGAAAAATAATTTTAAATCATCAATTACACCAATTACTAAATCATTTTTTTCATAATCTTCAAATTCTTCAAATTCTAATAAATTATATTCTGGTATTGAATTAATTAAAGACATGTTTTTAATAATATTTTGAAGCAATTTTTGATAATTAAATAGAATATTGATTATAAAAATGTTATTTGACTTATAAAACTTATTAAAAGCTTTTTACTTTCAAAACAAAATCACTACATTATTTATAAAAAATTATTTTATAATAAAATAATATTGCCTGGTATTATAACTTTGACAATCACCAAGTTTAAAAATAGTATCAAATTTTAGGCGGCAATTTTCCTTTTTTGTGTAACAATTTTAATTTGCGATTTACCTAAAAAAAATCTATTTTTATGGAAGACCGTTTTTGCTAGAAAAGGTCCCATATTATGTTTGTAGTAAAATATCTTGATAGAATTTTTGAACTTATGTGCGTTGAATGCTCTTGCCTATTTTGCAGTTCTCAAAAAAAAAAAAAAATGGATGATGAGATAAAGCTATGGTGAGAAACTAACGATGGAATGTATATGGTACATGAAAGCGTCAATACTGACAAAGACCAGTTTGGTATTGTTGGGGTACAAATAGTGGGAAATGAGATAAATCTGAATGTCCTTGTCAGAGATAAGGTTAAGGTTAATTGATATTACCACCTACAATCTGCTGAGATTCCTGTACAATTATCAGATGCGAGCATTGTAACTAAATTTGTTGAAACTTTATTACTTTTACACAATATATTAATTACAAATTTATCTTTGTTGTATAATGGATTGGTATGTATATCAGAAAGACTAAAGGAGAATAGTACAACCATAGATTCTGAATAGGTTTGATTTTAAATCTATTTCTCTTGTATTTCTTTGTTAATAAAGTATATATTAATATCTGAAAAAAAAATAAACCAATTAATTATTACACATATTGAGAATATCTGAATCAAGATTATTTACCACTAAATATCTGCATAGTTCTGCATAATCAAAAATCGTTTTCACATCTTGTGTATTCTTATTTATGATAGTTATGTAATCTTTGTCTTTTCTTTGTGGCACATCAGGAAAATGTGTTTTTTTTTGATACACATATTATATGTATATTATACATGTATTATTTTACATTACAGGTGATCTGCATATAATATACATATAATACACATGTCCATAAATTACACACGAATTATACATATATTATATGCAGATCACCTGTAATGTAAAATAATACACGTATAATATACATATAATATGTGTATCAAAAAACATGTTTTCCTGATGCGCATGTACTTATCTCAGTTTTGAAATTGCATATACTGTTTAGGATTATCGGTAAATCTTCCTTGAGTTTTGCGTCTGTTATTTTTAGATTTGTGAGACTTATTTGACATATCTATATTAATATGAATAAATGGCTTCAATTTTCCCCGATTAATCTCAGATAAAAACACGAATGAATATAAATGGTTACATAGACCTTGTTTATTTTACGAAATAAAAACTTTACTGAAGTAAAGACATAAAAATAAAAAAATAACCCCAGAAGGATGTAAAAAATATATCACTATTACATGATGTGAATATAAAATAAATAAAAATCTAATTATTCATTCTCTGGTTCATGTA